ACATTATGTTTTGCATGTAATTATTTGATTTTGTAAAACTCTTGTTTGACTGATCGTTTCTAATTCTGAGGAATTGTTTCGATGTCGAAGTCATGCTGTGAGTGATGGATGGTTTACGAGTAAATATGTTATACTATTTGTTCAAGCTCTCCCAAAAGGTTGTTCATTTTGAACTCCCTTTTGGACCTACTTTATATCAAGCACAGGCTACATCTATCAAAAAACGAAAAATCATGAAAACCCAGTAAGTAGGGGGTGGTAGGGGGATGGCGCTCCTTGGTATCTCATCCTTAGTCTCGGAAGCACGGATGGACCCCAAAACCATGTTTCATTTTCGCTGAACGGTTTTATAATAAATACCAAAATAGCAGAGGAGCTTGCACTAAATGGTTGGATCCCCCATGGCGATTAAATTTGCACCCAAAGGTAACTGCTACTTTTGGCTTCCAATCATGAATATGACATGATTTTGACATTTAGAAGCATTCGGTACCAATCTGCAGGCGAAAACTCAAATGCAAAATTTAGACTCCACAGGGATCGAACCATTGGCAGTACCTGGCGCTTCTTTTTTTTTTGGTACTGCTAAAACCGTTCAGCGAAATGAAACATGTTGTGCCCTCTACATGGGGTCTGTAATACGCAGGAACAGTTTCGAAAAGGTATTTTCGTTTTTTGATAGATGAAGCCTGTGCTTGATATAAAGTAGGTCCAAAAGGGAGTTCAAAATGAACAACCTTTTGGGAGAGCTTGAACAAATAGTAGAACATATTTACTCGTAAACCATCCATCACTCACAGGATGACTTCGACATCGAAACAATTCCTCAGAATTAGAAACGATCAGTCAAACAAGAGTTTTACAAAATCAAATAATTACATGCAAAACATAATGTATCAACAACGGTAGTTAACAACCAATAAAGTTAAAGTCTTTCTATTCACATATCCAAATATTTTTCAATTCAAACAATTAAAATCTCGTTTTGTCAAACTTCAGTGAGAAGGAACCGGAGGTCACTTGGTCAGGCCGCACCTTGAGGTCAGCGAGCAATTTTGCACGCTCCGGATTCTGGAAAAATTAAATCATGAGAGACCATCAAAGCATGAGATGTCACGCAAGATTCTACACACGACTTACTATTATCTCCGCCTTTTTGTTCACTTTGTCTGCCTTTGGTGGTGGAGCCCGATGTTGCTCACTTTTTGCTGGGAACGTAGGGAACATCTCAGGCGGAGTTGGCTTCGGATCCTCGCTAAAAAGTACTGAGAACCTGCCTCAAAGCTAATGCGGCCAATCTTGCAAAACAAAAAATGGTGAAGAAAAAAGCCATTAGTGATTCTAGCTACTCACGTGAACCACTTGTCATTGAGTGCTTCCTCCGCAGTGATACGTCGCTTGGGATCATATGTCAAGAACCTTAAAAACAGAACTACTGAAACACGCGAATTAGATAAAGGACTCGTAATGCTGTATTTTCAAATTCTAAGCAACTGGTATCAATGCACATGCTGCACATCATCTCATCGAAGCCAAAAAAGGACATATACCTTATTGTATAGTTTCATGATTTGTTGAAAAAAAGGATGTACCTGTTCAACAACTTGAATCCACTTTCATTCATTGCTGAGGCTGGGAACTTCTTCCGCAATTGGTTATAAGGGAAGTTGCCCAGCTTCATCTAAAAAACATAACTTTATTGGTACGAATCTTCCGTGCGTTCACATCTGCACATTCGCGCTAAGACCACCTTCGTACTCAATAACGCTTTCGAAAATTAGAAATTCAGGAGATTCAAATGAAAAAATAATATCTCCTAATCTGCTATTCCTCTATCCTTTGAAACGATACGTATCCTTTTTTTTCAGATGAATTTCCTAATCTTCTTCTATTCTCCTGATTTCAAAAAACCTTGAATGTGAATGTGCCAAAGCAAGCTTTCATGGTCGGTCGTCCAGTCGTCACGATCAGCTGATCGCACAGTATTAGATTCATATCGATCGTCGAATGTGACGGACGACCGAAAGCTCGTGCGCACCTGATGCTGTACGATCGTTACGATCGCTACAACTGGAGTACCGACTATGAAAACACCCTAAATGCCATCGCAGTTAGCGCAAGCTGCCTACCAAGCTTCGTAACAACGCAAGCTCAATAGTCAATAATTCTGGTGCTGCATGCTGCCCCAGTGTCAAACTCTTACTTTTCTGTTTGTTTTCTTGCTGCTTCAACGTTTTTTCAGATAAATAATTTTAGAAGGGCCTGAGGAATAGCCTAACAAAATTCGTAAAGTATAGCTAGTTCCAGGAATATGTGATAATTCAATAAAATGTGATTTACTATATTGTTCTTAAGACGCGTTGATGGATCGATAAAAGGATAGAAGGATTTCTATTTTATACCCTTATCTCCCCTATACATTTTCATCATAGCTCTGTAAAAAATCAAAAATGACAGCGCCGGCACAGCATACGTCGAGCTGGATCGTCGGTTTTGCATGAGGAGAGCGCTATGCGTAGTGAGCGTTAAACACAATATGTTTTGCGCAGACTATGAACTCTGCCTTGCCAATCGCAAAAAGAATACAAATACGAACGCAAAAAAGAGAAACAGGAGCACGTACCATTTTTGGTCCAGGGAGTTCACTGTAACCTTCCCATATGCTGTCAGATGGAGTTCCAAGTTCCTTCAAAGTGATATCTTATAGGCGTGTCGCAGTATGAGCATTACTACTGCTACTACAAGAAAACAGGCTTTCGCATACCGTGAATATTTTGTTGATTTCGTCCAGTTCACCGTTTCCAGGAAAAAGGGGTTTGAGAAGAACGAACTCCCCCATTATACAGCCAACTGACCACAGATCGATCGGGGTAGAGTAAAGCTGGAAAAAGATGACTCGCATTGCTTTCCCAAACTACACCTTTCTCGAATAATGAGTTGCTAAAAGAGATGTGGCGGTCTCCAAGTCTAACTTCACGGCACCGTAGATGAAGCAAAACATCATCAACGTCAGAACGTTGAATAAGTTCCATGGCAAATGACACAATTTTGGAATGCTTTTCTGTTATCTTTTGGATACGACCGTTTTAACTCGCTTCTAAAAAGTTGCAAGCACATGAAAACTAATTTCACCAAACTGCAAGGATTTTAATGATAAAAAATATAAAATGATATAAAAAATTATAGGCGTTAACAACTACTCTCAGTAGTTTCATTTTAGATATTGCATTCAATAGTGAGGATATTTGGCGCAATAGGAAGGGACGTTCCAGATAAGAAAAGTTCGAGGAAGATTTTATGAGCTTAGGATTTCGCGACCTGGTCCACTCTCTGCAGTATACCAAATTGGATGAACAACGGAGGGGTTTCGCAAAAGCGACAAACCTATAATGACGATTGATCATCTCCGTTGAACTTCTCGCCTATCCCTCCGCTGGCTTGGCAACTACCTTCTTTCAAGATCCTTTAACACGTTGACGACCGTGTAATATGATGTCATACCACACTTTAACATGGAGCAGACTAGTTTTCCTTAATTTATTTGGCGTTTTTCCTGTTCCACAACGGTCCATGTACATTATTGGATCCGAAAACAATTTTTTCATTACTGATAATGAAAACGCTGAAGGATTAATGCCTATTGATGAGAGAATACGAAAAAAGTTAAAGCACGCTCACCACGGGGGTCGTCAAAGTGTTAACTGTTTTCGATAGGTATCGTGAGGTGTGCAAAACAAAATATCGTTCGAACATTGGTCGAATCGTTCTACAACTTGGCAAACCGATTATGCGCGTTTCTCTCAACAAGAAGATCTCTTTGCAAACGACACAATTGTCCGCAACTACATTTGATTGTGGAGGAACCCCATATAAAGAATATGAAAAAAATCACTACATTCACCGCTTGATCCTAGTGTCAATACATGAAAAATAGATACAATTGTGATAGTGAAAAATGCTCGCTGCACTTAAAAGAAATTGTGTTCTTCTTAGATTTGATTTAAAGCCACAAGCCAAGATGGTACAGAACTTTATTCGGCTAACGTTTCGGCTTGGTCGCCTTCGTCAGAGCCTGGAAAGTCAAAGATCAGTGCGACCTACCGCAGACATCATTTCAACTTCGAAATAGTCCCCGTAGATCAGAAGAATCCAGGGGCATCGCAAATCTTTGACTTTCCAGGCTCTGACAAAGGCGACCAAGCCGAAACGTTAGCCGAATAAAGTTCTGTACCATCTTGGCTTGTGGCTTTAAATTAAATCTAAGAAGAACACAATTTCTTTTAAAATGCAGCGAGCATTTTTCACTATCACAATTGTATCTATTTCATGTATTGACACTAGGATCAAGCGGTGAATGTAGTGATTTTTTTTCATATTCTTTATATGGGGTTCCTCCACAATCAAATGTAGTTGCGGACAATTGAATCGTTTGCAAAGAGATCTTCTTGTTGAGAGAAACGCGCATAATCGGTTTGCCAAGTTGTGGAACGATTCGACCAATGTTCAAACGATATTTTGTTTTGCACACCTCACGATACACAAGTTGGAGTAAAAACAAACAAGGATCGAAACGGCCGCAACTTAATACTTCGGATGTTCTTCAAAAATGGAATTGCAAGCCCGTCTTAAATGAGAAAAGCAACTAGCTCATTGTCAGCAAAAAAGAACAAAAAGATAAAGCAACTTAATCATAGAATTTCTGAAAGCGCAGGATGCACGTAAGTTTATTCAAGTATTTGGACGTGACTGCCCGACAAGCTGTAGCTGAAGCTTGGCGACTTCATTCCGTACAAAGAGCGCATACTAAGTTTAGGGAAGATGTAGGCGAAGCCTAGTGTCGAATTTCGCCCTATCAGGAAAGTTGAATAGGAATTTGTTTAGTGCACACTGCAGCAACTTGAAAAGAGGATTTGCATTCTATTATGGAATGATGGGGCAGTGACGCATAATAAATGAACTTAAACAGAAATAATCATTCTATCACGCTCTCATAAACTGAAACGTTTCATAAAACTAATGCTATATTACCTTTTGCCCAAGAAGAAGCTCAGGCGCACGATACCACAAAGTTACAACAACGGCAGTGTATGCCCTCAAAGGATCACCGTACTCCCTAGCAAGACCAAAATCGGCAATCTGCAAATATAAGCGCTATGCGGTCTTTTTGTTCACGTAAGTGCAACACCTATGACTCACCTTTAATATGCCTTTGTGTGAAAATAGCAAATTAGAAGTTTTCAAATCACGATGTAAAATCCAATTGTCATGAAGATGTTTCAATCCTGATAACAGCTGCCTCATTAGTGTTTTCTGTTCACCTGAAATACCTTCAATAAAGTTCTCTAGTTAAAATGCAACACAGTTTCGAAATTGTAAGAAGCGAAATGTAACACTCAGGATAGTTTGCGGAACGATCACGAAAACCTAACCAAATGTGAAACGTTTCCCGCGTTTGTGCATAGTATCCATTAGATTTTTCATATCGTGCTCTACAAACTCCATAGCTAAATATATTTTATCAGCATTGCTCCCAATCAATATCTCTTGCACCTGAAAATCACAGAATTTTAATTACAAAAAAAAGAATCCAACAAGCCGTCTCACTAACATTTACAATATTTTCATGCTTGCCGGCTTTTAAAAGCATGTTGATCTCCCGGAGAGCAGTAATTGGGAATCCTTCTCGCTCCTTTTCTATTTTCAGCCGTTTGAGGGCCACAATCTCATCTGAAATTGTCCCCAAATCATCAAAACATTATTAGCTTATTTGCAAATAAATTGCATACTGTGAACAAACCAAGTAACGTGAATAAAAAACCATTGCTAATCTCAAAAAAAAAGAAAGAACCCTGTGTGTACCACACTAAGGCTACGGTATGTTCTGCAAATTCCACTCAATTTAGGAATACCTTAGAGCTGAGTGTACGCAGGCTTCATTTTACAATGCAAAGCAACATCAAATAAGAAAAGAAGTACCTGTGCGCTTGTTTTTAGCACGATATACCACTCCGAAGGTGCCCTCCTCCACTCTATTCACACAATCGAATTCAACAACGTTGCGACAGCCCATGAATGCTATAAATGTCAAGCTTCAGATGGAACGAGTAGAACAATCAGCGATCAACTTACAAGCATAGTAAACAGGTAACTGAGCTATCAAGCGGCTTTGCCATTCACTTTCCAAACGCTTCTTTGTGTCCGGAGAAGAGCTGAAATAAATCGCATTTTTGATGACTATGTCTGAAGATGCTCGCAAAAGCTTGAGATTAGCAGCACGCACCAACGCTTTCTGCTCATCCGTCAAGGTCTCATATGTTGCAGTTGATGGATCGAACTCCGGTTCAGGCTCCATTTCTACATCACTGTATTCTGCCACTAGAATTCATGCCGTTCACTCAAAAATTGGCCAAGGAAACAATAATGGATGCGTACCAGGGCTGTGTTCCGGAGTTTGATCATCAGGTCCACCTGCCTCCGGACTACTGTCGAATTTCGAATACTTCTGCGGTCCGGCTGGTGAATCCAATGTGAAGGAGGTAATTTCTGCAATTTTTGCAAGATCTAGGTTCACACGGTAGATACATTCATAATACGTAGAGCATAGCAATTTATGTACACGGCCAAGATTCAAAAAAATATGAGATCAGCCACAAAGTTCGGTTGAACCAAAAAGAGGGATGGAACACAACTCAAATTTATGCTATTCGTAGACGACAGTCAAACCACCGTGAAAAAAAGCAACGTATAGAAGTACGTTTTGGGGTTCAAAATACTATAAATCGATGACTTCTATTCTATTTACCACTTCTGTTTAACAATTTAACTTCTATTTCACAGGACGTACCGCTCTCTGCGATGAATGTTTCTTCGTCTTCTCCTATTGATTCGACCATTTCCATTTTTGCAATTGTTACGCTAGTTTGTTCTGATGGCGCCGCAGATGATGCCAATTCATGCTTCTTAGACTCTAAACGATGATGACTGAAAGTAAAAGTACTCCTTATGAGAAGTAAATACTTGAAGAAAATCGTTGCTCAACATCTACTTCTGCAAATTATTAGGTATTAGAAGCATGATGAAGACATACCGATTTGTTTCTCCTTTCTCTTACGTTCGCTTCGATCGAGAGGAGATCGTTTCCTGACACCTCCCATGAGGAGTTCGTCTGGTGAAGGAGTACGGCTAAAAACAACAGAACATGGAGGATCCTCATCATTGCAGCTACACTGCGACGCATAATTATAGTTCCACCTACAAATTTCCCAAAAACTTGAATCTGGGGATGTTTTTGGAAAAGGCTCTACAGATAAATTGTGACACATATAAACGCGAATCTGAATATTAACACGGAAATCCAGTTTGAGAAAGCAACAATTTTTTATCCTTATTTTTCGAAAATATCCGCTTTAGCTTCTCCGCTGAGACGCAGGAATTGTCAAAGTGTCAGCTCCGCTGGAATTTGTAGGGATGACTTCATAACAAACACATTTCTCAAGGCCAAAAAAAAATAACGAAAAAATTTCTCAAAGATGCTAGCCAGGATATGACTGGGAGGAACCCTGATTACTATCCGACTGAGATAAGCGCCGTATCGTGAGAAAATGATATCCAGCCGGGTACTGAAATTGTAGGTGGAACTATAATTATGCGTCGCAGTGTATAGCAGGAAAATAAGTGAAATAGATACGCTTCTTCCTACCTCGAATCTCGTTTCATTAGGCGCTCCTTTCGCAGGCGTTCTGCGTCCTCTTCTTTAGGCCTTTTATCACGATGGTGTTTCGGGAATATACGAGACGCTGACTTGACACGAAACTCCTTAATACACCTGAGTAGTTATCAATTCATTAAGACAAAACAGCAATTGCTATCCTGTGAATTAGTGAAATTACACACATTCACTATGCTTGAGTATTTCGCTCAAATGCGATGCAACGTGCCTCAATGTCAACTTGTACATCCATCACACAAATAAGAAATAACATAACGTGCATCAATCAACTTTTGATAGTTTACTTGGTAGCTATTCACCAGTCACACTTACAAAATGGTTTCTAGTGCTTTGTTAACTGTCCGCTTTTTTCAGCATGATTGCAGGGCGAATCCAATCACAGTCGATATCTCGAAGTCTGATTGGGCGTGTCACCGGAAATGACGTGGCAGCCACCGCACTTGATAGATGTTGTGTGGATAAAATACTCCGCCAGATATCAGCAAAGCGTGTTGGAAGCAGCTTATCCGCGCAACTTCTATCAAGTGCGGTGGCTGCCACGTCATTTCCGGTGACACGCCCAATCAGACTTTGAGATATCGACTGTACAGAGGAAAGGTTTACGGATCTATCAAATTGAAAAACTTGTTGAACTTCAACTGTGTCCTCTTGGATGTTCTGAGTATCCTCCAGTTAAATGCCCTTCCCTTAACCCTTTCGGACCTGAATTTTTTCCCGTGGAGAAATTTTTCTTCTAGCTATTGTTTATTACTTGTGAGCATATAGGTATCATTATGGCGAAATTTGGAAGCTATTCGATCACAAACAAAGAAACTAGGAAGCTTTGAAAATTGGCCCACCTTCTTAGTTTTTAAGCTTATGTCGAAACAATTCCAAATTTCATAGTTATGCCGAAAAAGTTTATAATCTTGCACAACATTATAACCCATAATTTTGATTAAAGAATGGATCTACTTCAAGTATTTTGGGAAAAAGTGACACTTGCTTGGCAGGTTGCGGGGACCGGTCGTACTTGTAATACTAAGAGCAACACACAATGAAAATGCGGGTTTAGCGCATAATTAAGAAGGGGAAGGTTGACTGAAGCAACCTCTAGCAGGATTAGAAAACCATGCTGTTTGCAGCGGTAATGCAAGACATTTGAATTTGATGGTGGCAATTGCCACCGCCAGGACCAGAATGGTTATCCTCCCTGTGATACATGGTGAGAACGAGCACTCAGCAAAACAAATCAGAACACTTAGTAGCTTGGAAAAGGGTCCAACTCCACATAAAGGGTGTTCTATAATTATTGCAACAATGTTCGTCATCAGTTTCGAGTTAATGTTTTTTCACCGATTGACGAATTGATACTTCCTCCTCCTCATCGTCTAAATAGGTCTGGCAAATTTTACAGCTAAACGTTAGCTTTTCGGTTCAGGGTACGTCTTAACCCAAATACAGTACATGCTCACACAAACATCGCTTGCCTCTTGTTCTTACACCGGTCTACAATATCTAGTGCATAGCGGACAAGAGTAGTGGATAGTCATGCATGCTGCTCCATCCCGTAACTTCATTTTCTCGCATTACAGTAAAACTGTGGAGAAACCAACCTCCCGCAGAAGCAGGAGAAAGATGGTCAGAGGGTTGCGATTTTCTAACACGATCATGTGCGTCACTGTTCGACAAAAGCTACACACGCATCCCTATTAAATAGTGAACGCTTGACCCTGCTTGATACGCAAGCTGTTGACCGGTCCAAAAAATCAAACCATTCTCCAGAGATTTAAAACAATGAACTTCACGGGGTCTCCCAATCATGCCGGGTACAACAAAAAAGTATGAATGACCTTTTGATGTAGAATTGCAATAGCATAGGTAAGGAAACATACGTCATGCTTCTTTTTGTGACGATCATCAGTCCGGTCCCTGTCTCGATCCTTTTCACGTCGTTCTGTAAAGACTGTTTTACAAGCTGGCTCGAAACGTTGCATTGCGAGACTTCATGGTCTTCCTGCGCATTGGGTCGAGCGTTTCATTTTCATAAATAGCAGCGAGCTACATCATGTGCACTATTTGCCCAATGATAACCACCCCATTTCCACTAAATATCGAATTACCAAAAGGTTCAGGTTACAAACAGTCAGGTTATGTCTCGAAATATACAGTCCAACACATCTGCCTGATGCTGTCTCATCTGTGGTAATAGTCTGTTCTTTGACCACAACTTTTGATCATTTGTACACTATACAATTCAATCCATTTGAATCCTTATGATGATTTCAATACCAATCTGATCACTAACAATTTTCGCATGCTGAATATTCGTGTTGAAAACCAAGATTTTCAATATTTGTTAGCGCATATGGGCATCACGACTTTTCCCACGATTTCTGGTAACCTGCCACAGCCGCCTTCGAGTTGTGATTTTATGTTCAAATGCAAATTATAACCCCATGAAAATTATAAAAAATAACATCGTGTAAAATAATGATATCAAGATAGAGACTTAGGCAGCTCTTTCGAACACCTGTCTTTCCAAGACGATAGTGCCCTTTACCCGCTTCTGGTCCTCGAAAATCCCTTTTTCGGAAGGAAACGCTTTGAGCAATCCGAATAGGAAATATCACTGCGGATTATTGCATTCAATAGAAGAATTGCGCCAGCAGAACAATCAAAATTACTAAAATTAGCTTTTTGCTCAAGTGGGTTGTTGCAGTTTTCTTCAAGAATCTATTTTTGGTATGATGAAGTCCCACACAAGTACGTAACTTTTCTTTGAAACTACATTCCAAGAAACGAAAATAAGCACTTCGAAACAGCGCTCACATGATGTCGCCCGCGCCACTAAGGCTGGTGTCACGCCTGCGATCCGTCGCAGGTTTCTCTGATTTTCGCGAAACCTGCGACGGATCGCAAAAATTGCAAGTGCCCATTTGAACATTTGAAACACTGAATATGAAACAAGTGGAATCATGAGCAGTCGTCATTCAGCCATCACTATCAAGCAGAAGTGGCGGCAGGATTGGAGAACACCTTGCAGTATTGATCGGGCACTTGTGATTTCCGTGACCCGTCGCGTGAATCGCGGATCGCGCAAATCGCGAAAATCAGCGAAACCTGCGACGGATCGCGGACTCTGACACCAGCCTAACGTGTTAAAAATGCCCATATGCTCTGATGCCGCACCTCCATGCTTATGTTTAGATTTGTCACCTTCTCTTTCTCGTTCACGTTCTCTTCGATCACGATCTCGGTGTTTGTCCCTCAATTTCTCCTGTTTGTCACTTTTTGGTTTCTAAAAATATCACGAATGCTCACTGTGAAGTGTGAAAACATATACTCCTACCTTTGGCTGTATTGTGAACATTTCCTCATCTTCGCTGTGTCGATCTCTTTCACGTTTCTCGAGTAACCGTCTTCGCAACCGATCTTCTTCGCCTATATTGAAAATAAGAGGAAAATTTGTTAAGATTAGTGTCAGTGAGAATGCGCATAGAAAGTCAAGAATAATGCAGCGATGGGGAAAGCAAATCGATGCAATGAATAAACAACAGAATAATTCACTCATTATGCATGACTTTGAGTGTTTCAAAGTAAAAAATAAGAGAAAAAACTCCTAACTTTCTATATCGGCCTTGCTGAATTCGATTTTCTTTCTTTCGACAAGAGGTTCGGGCATTTGAACAGGAGAGTTAGACGATGATCGTCGACTAGTTGCCGCTGAAGAATTCGCTGAATCTAGTAAAACACATTGAAATCACAAACTTTACGGAATTCAAAATGAGAAGCCTGTTCGATAGGCAGACTTGGAAGAAGCTACACAAGGACGCCAGCTCACCATGATGCCATTCGCTGAAAACTAGAACCATTATCGACATCAAGCGGTATGTTAGATTTACTTCAAAAATGATAAGTTACAATTCTGAAAGCCACCATCATCTGCCGATCATGACCGATTTTAGCTCACAGCATAAAGGAGAACCGGCATCCTAGTTAGCACGTTTATACTTGCAATGGAATTCAAATTTTACCACCGCTCTAACCTACTACCCGCTCGTTTTAGATCAAATTCTTGTTTCTCTAATTACGATTCGGGTAGTAGGTTATTATCAAAGTGATCCACATCAAATATGCAATTACTGGAATGAAAGTTACCACCACAGGTCGTGTGTTGATCCAGCTGCGGCTCCACTCAACTAGCGGGTCTAATGCGTAATATGCAGAGCGGAGTGGAGCACTTATAAGTCAGCCTGCCGCAAGCATATTCTCTCACCCCTTTGAATAATTGCATAACTTTTGAAAAGCGTAATTTGTAGACCATGATGCCCTCCTTACCGGTTATCTGCCTAGTTTTCGTTGAACCTAAGGACAATAAGAGGTGACCGCACCAAAAGAAATTCGCTAATGCTGATGGGTATACAAACTTCCGAACAGCTTAAGCAGTAGTCACAATTCCGAACTTTCTGAAGGGACGGAACTTTCTCGATGATTCCTTACTGCAATAGAAAGTTATATCAATGGTCTTGATGCAAAATAAAAATTCCTTGCTGTTACATCTTTCCAACAAGCATTCAGAAACATCGGCATACTTGAAAGATTCTAAAGAACAGTGCATCGTCATATTTGCATGAAAATGGGCACTGCAGGAAATGGCCGATTTTGCGATTGGAGCGATTGTGCACAAATTGCAGGAGCGACGGGAGATTTACACGGCCGACCAACGATAATTCGGCGTCATCAGCTCGTAAATGTCCCGTCGCTCGCACTGCGAGCGACGCGAGATTTACACCGCCAACCACCGATAATTCGGCGCCACCAGCTCGTAAATCTCCCGTCGCTCGCAGATAAGTGCCTTGGCCGTTGTGGCAGGGAGCTGCGAGCGACGGGACATTTACGAGCTGATGGCGCCGAATTATCGTTGGTCGGCCGTGTAAATCTCCCGTCGCTCGCAGCGATGGATCGCTCAAGCGATCCGTCGCTCCTGCAATTTGTGCACAATCGCTCCAATCGCAAAGTCTGACATCGGCCAAACATCAAGCGTTGCACCCACTTTGGAGCGATATACAGCATGCGTAAAGTTATCTGCCTATCCCTATAAATGTGAGCGAACCACCTTTTAGTTTTGTAATGATTATGATTTACTGGAAGGTCATATGGTACTAGGATGACCACAGTCATGCTCAGAGAGTAGGATACAACAATACAGTACCGCGCCTGTTTCCATTGGAGACATGTCCTGCAACGCCAGTACTAATAGAAGCCATAATCTCTGCTCCATGAACAATGGAAAAGCCGAAAATAATGGAGCGAGAGATGAATCAACCCAAAAGCTAGATGAGCGGCCCAATTCCGATCTTAGTATGAAAAATTTAGTATTTAGTAGCCACAGCAAATGTAAAAAGTTCAATAACCCATAATGGCAGAATGTGCAGCTAGGAGCTAAGATGAAAATCGCAACCTTGTTAAATTATCTTCTCAAAACGCTGACGCAAATTCTTTATACCACACCTCAGTCTTATACTTAAAGGAAGCAAGATTACTTATTTAGTATATAATCCTTGTTCCTTATCACAACGCGTAGAAAAATGATGTCGTTTCTCTCCTATAAAAGCTACATTTCTGAGACCTCAAAAGAATTCTCCAGAAATTGGTGTCCTCAGCGATACTTTGTTTCTTTTCAGACTCGTCAGACTGACAACAGACTCACACTAAGTTATACTGCACAAATGTTATTTCCTGAAATACTGTCTAAATTTGCCCGGAGAGCTAAGGCGAAAGGAACGGTGTCAACCTTAGAGGTAACAGTGTGCATGCGGAGGGAACTAACAAAACATTAAAGTAACAAACAAAAATATATTAAACGAGAAGTTCAATTAGGCAATATGGTTAGAGGATCCGCACAGAAGCGACAAACGCAACAGACCATAACCGGAGAGCAAACCTCTTGGACTGGGCTGTTTACATCCAGGCGTCTGAGCTGCGAACAGAATTGACTGTTCTCTGAACTGTTGTGCTGGGAGTTCTACATGTTGACAGATAGTAACTGATGTAAGCCTTAGCTGTGCCAGAGTCGCGATCGCCCGTCCAAGTTTCCAGGACGCCCAAGCATCGCGCGCGAAGGGCGAATCGCGGCGAGTCGCCGCGCGTCATATACCATTACGTCATCACCGCCGTTGCTCGTATCGTCTAAACTAGACTTCTTGCTCGCGAACGGCTCTGGAGAAGCTCATTGTTTCGGTTTTTGCGAGTTGCGCGTTTCACGCGACGGATCACCAAACACCAAAAATCGAATCCTCACGGGCTCCCATACTTTCTGCACGATTTGGGGCGCGGCCGCGGCGAGCGCGGACGAGTCGATAGTGCCCGCGAACTGTGGTGGTGATGCGTTTTCAAATTTACCCACACAGTTCGCGGGCACTATCGACTCGGCCCGCGCTCGCCGCCGCTGCGCCCCAAATCGTGCAGAAAGTAGGGAGGCATCACTACTGCCAAAGTCCCCGCCACTTCTGAATGACGACTGCTCATGATTCCACTTTTTTCATATTCAGTGTTTCAAATGTTCGAATGGAACTTGCAATTTTTGCGATCCGTCGCAGGTTCAAATCGCGAAAATCTGCGAAACCTGCGACGGATCGCAGACTCTGACACCAGCCTTACAGAAAATGGACTAAGTTATGCAACACATCAGGGAATACTGCATAAATGCACTGTTAGGAGCAAAATTAGCGCTCCTTCCATTTCAGCATCCCTCATGTATCTCCAAAACACTGCAACAATTATGATGACATTATCCGTATGCTGGAGACCAAGCAACTAGAAAAGTAGTTTGTTCCGACCATTTTCATAAGGTAGCTCATGATTTCTAAACCACTTGGCCAAGCCACTTACTTCAGTCCTAAAAGTAGTGGACAAAAGCTTATTATGATGCCGATACTTGAATAACAAAAAATACGTTCCAGAGTTGAGTGCCCCTAAGGCATGTATAGCTGAAATTGGTAACAATTCAGGCTCTCAGAAAAAATAGGCACAATGGGTAAGCACAGGATGGGCACTTACCCCTCAAAGTTGTTTTGAAATAGTTGGAAAGGAAAACGATATAAAGTGAAACTTACAATTTTCTTGATGAACGTGACTATCATCGGTAAGCTCTCCATCGTCAGGAGAACCATAATTGCTCATGATCTCTCTAAAACAGAACAATATGCATATCGGTATTCGCCGCAAAAGATAATCGTTTAAACCGTTATCACATGATAGGCAGAATCGGCTCCGCAAGGAACCGTATAGTAAGAGTAGAAATGAAGAATTGTAAGGTAACATCGCGAGGGGCAATAAACACTTAACACAAACTCCTTAAAGAGCACTCCTAATTCGAAAAGAAAACAGGCTACCACGCTATTTTCAGAACATCTGAGCGCACTGAGACATTCAGATATAAGACTCATCCACTCTTTCAACGAACACGCTCACTTGTAAGCAGTAGAACTGAAAGAGGCAGAACACAAGCGATAAAAGGATTAGACAGTGAATAGCACATTACGTGAAAAGAGCGAATGGATATCTCGCAAGCACGGTAATTCGTACATGAGCGCTTTGCTATCCGTAGTCTCCGCCTGATATGCGCACTGATTTGACCCGCATTCATTATACTTTTAAGAGTATCTTATGGGGGCGCACGCGGCGCGCTGCATCTGTTTCCTCCCCTTGCAAAGGCTTAGCCCGACGGAGATATTCAAAAAAACCGCACTGATGTGAAATAGGAACTGATGGGACTAAGCGTGAAGGAAGCAGACGACAGACGCGCGGCGCCCCCCCCAACTAGATGGACCTGCTAATGCTCTTTCGCACTGAGCAACCCTCAGTTGACTTCCCTCATTAAGAGGTACCCAGTTCGCCTTCGATACATGAACTTCCATATAAAATCTGGTCTTGCAGAATGTGTGAAGGCAACAGACAATTGGTGCGGTGCCTAGCCTCGGCCCAAAAGAGGTGAAAACCCTAGAATAGCTCGGACGGAGGATTCCAGAGTATTACCTAACTACAGCGTGGCAAAATTTGAATGTGTGGGATCACAAAGGTCATCAGCCGCTAATAACGCGAGAGAGCGCAGACGAGATCATTGAACTGAAGCGGCTTGAAGGACCGAGTTCAACTAGTCCGTCGACCCACCACCCTACGCGAGCCTTGCGAAAATTATTCCTTATTCAATTTACAGTGTGTTGATGAAAGTGCAAAATTAGCCGTGCATTACGGTAGTAGCCCGGAGCGTGCAATTGCACGATCACTGGGGCCTTTGCGGCGTTCATTGGTTTTGGGCGGTTTTGCTGGACAGAAGCTACTTGCAGGCCATACCCGATCATAATCGTTGTTAATGCGATCCATTTGCTGAAAGAAGACATACCGTTCGATTCAAACTTGCCGATACGCATAAAAGCTGATTGAAGAGGTCGGGCGGTTATGTTCGAAGTGAAGGAGCACATTGATCGACTGCGCTCAACAATTCGTCGATCGATCTATGAACGCACTCTTTCAGTCGATACGCATATATCTCTCCCAGCATGATCGCTATATCGCCAAATAGCGTTAACCGCGATCTATGAACGGGGCCTTAAAGAGTCACCCTTTCTGAGGATCTCTGAATCTCTAGATCATCGTATTAACATTTCTTTCATGAGATTCACTCAATTTTAGAAACAAGGCATGAACGCAGCTTTACATTTAACTATTTCTGACATAATTCTTGAGCCTTTCACATCTGTGACTCAGATTATAAATGCATTTCTGCTCTCATTAGAGTTACAATTCAGGTATAAAGCTTAGTTTTTATAGATAAAAGCCGCTATAGAATGTCAGGACCAGGAGAGCGTTTCCACGTACTAGCACAGCTGGACCATCTCCATTCCAAGTACACAGGTACTGGACACGCAGATACAACGCGATACGAATGGCTCACAAATCAACTGAGAGACACACGAGCTTCGCAGGTTCGTTTACTTGTTCATTTTTCCTCATCTCTGAATGCGCAAACGATGTGAGATGCAGACCATGTGCAGAGGAAACGGCTGTAGTCTATCACCCCAATTACTGCGCTAAGACTTGGTTTTGAATTCCTCATCACTATTTTATAACTTTCCTAATCAGTATGTTCTTGGAGTCCACGTTCCCAGTAAACATTGTGGTTCTACCTTCTGTAATACGAAAGATGGGGTTCATCCATGGTCTGACGGTCGTGCTGCAACTTGAACCTGAAACGCCTTTTTGGCATGGATGAGATCCTCGGCAGTCTTAACCTTTACCGATTCGCTTTACTCCGATCTCCTTCTTCTAAGAAAAAATATTTTTAGCCATAGATAGTAGCCACAAATCCCTTTAGTGCGAGCCCATCTCTAGAAACCAACACAGTCCTATCTGTCTTAATGAAGTAGTTTTAAGATTATTCATAGTTTTCGAATTAACAGAATATTCAAATTCGCGAAAAGTGCTGTACACCGCTAGAATCTGCGCCGCGAACACGCGGAAACAGAATGGTTTAAATGCGTATTGACTTAGTCAAATCTTCAGCGTTGAGGGAGCGAGGCATCGAGGTCACCTCCAATTCACCTATTGGTTGATTTCTTTCAGAAGGATTTGCAGATTTGCCTGCGCGATGCGACGCTCCTCCCATTTTGCGGACCGATGCGCATTTGATTTGTTTCGCAGATCTTCAGATTCGTTCGGTTAGCGCGTCTTTCCACTATGGCGCAAGCTGTGAACAGTACCTTGCTGTAAAAAAAGTTAAAATTAAAAGAGTTAAGCAAAGTAGTTAAAAAACCCTTGGCTGGATTCTATTGGACGAAGCTCAGCATAATATCACGAGGAGCGCCGTGTCTCACTGCGAATTTGGTTAATGGTAGCAAGCGCAAATTCCGTTCTACTCCCGGTGTGTTACGGGGACATTGCAGTGAGCCTTCGACAGGTCTTTTAGGTGGTTTTTCGCTCAAAACACTATCTGTGCCGTACAATGTGTTATTTAGCACTCCAATAGACCCAGCTGCGAGAAAAATAGTGCGGCTCGTGAACGAGTATAGTGAAAAATGTGTGGCGTCAAAAGCGTAAAAATGGAACTGCTTTTCCTTATCAGGATTGAAAGCTCTGTAGATGTACATTCAGCGAAAACAATTCATTTGCTCACTATCGCCATGGGCGATTAGTAGTGAATTTTTTGGCGTTTTTTGTGTAAGGTCTGTTCATACTTTTGCAGTTCGAATGTATAGTCGATACGTAATGACCATGCAGTTATGCGACCGCGCGATCGCATCTAATCGATAGGTATTTGCCGCACTAAAAAACGCGCTAATCGAAAAGTGTGATTCGACTCTCAGCGATTTTACAGGGAAGAGTGTAGATCGTCAGATGACGACAGCTGGTTATATGTCATACCTCTTTTCTATTTTTTTAATTTTAGATGAGTCACCCAGGAATGACTTCGTTCATTGCTATTGTCGAAAACGAATCTCGTGCGCGAACTCGGTACAACCTCCTGAATCGAATGATTCTTCCCTGCGGTCCGCCACCGGAGAAGTCTCCGCTTGATGACTGATGTGATCTCATTTCCATTTCATTATGTAATAAATATGCTATTGATTCTGGTGGTCTGATCCACTGTTGAAGGTTTTGAGCCTATGTGAGTATATCTGGGCATGATCCTTTGTTATTAGCGAGCAAGCACCGAGCTTAAGTTATAGGTTTGAGTCGTGTATGCACTTCTTCCGAACAATTGCCGGATATTCATCGCTTCCCATCCACAAATTGCTAGGGAAACGAGCCGTATTTCTTTCATGCTATCAGTGAGTGCAAGCGTGCAAAGGTTTGAAGTGGTGGTTTAGTGTGGTGGTATCTTTCCGCCTATTCAATGTACCATTCTTATTGCGTTCGGCGTTTTAGAGCATTCATCGCTTTGCTAAAATTTAATATGGGTTTGGCTGCGATTTTTAGTAGCAAGTTTGTGTTTTTCACAAGGTCTGGTTGTATGCATTATGGTTTATGTGGTCGCTTCGCTGACATCAAGCGATTGAAAGCTTGAGTTTCGGAGATTTTCGCCTAACTTTAGGCTACCGTGGCAATGTGTTTGATGACTAGCCTTTCAGACATTTTTCTTCCAGCAAGGGATAGTCATCCAGTCAACCCAGTTGGAGCAGTAATATAATGCTTCTCTTTGGTTGCTGGGCTCAGAGCTGCTCTCAATTTGTGCTTAACGATTCTTTAACCAGAGTTATGAAGCCGAAAAGCGCAGCGGAAATGGTTCGTGTTCACAGGAGGTTGTTGAACCGGCTTCTTACTTGGCATGTTCGCTCTTCTGCTCGTTTAGCAACATAGCATAAGATCTTGGAGATCCTCATTGCATTAAACCTTGCTTACCAATCTGATTTCGAGCGGTAAGGGTAGCATGTAGTGTGGTGAGGCGCCGGCGAACAGTTTCTTAACTTCGTTCAGAGAATCGTTTCGCAGATAGAGAAAGCAGTTTTGAGCTAGCGTTTTGAAAACGAGACCTTGTAGCGATAAGCCAAAGGGTGTCCCTTATCAGTGAATGTTTGTTTCCTTCTCATGTTTAAAGTGGTGCTCTGTGCGCCATATTGTAGAACGATGCACTGCTGTGAAGATCGAGTTCACCCTTATCATCGGTTTCTTTCCTTGTCTGCATTGAAAGCATCTCCAACAATTACTTTCAGAGTGAAGGTTGTATTTTTCTGGAATACTGGCGCTTTTACTTGAACGCATACCTGATCTCATTGTGGATAGTGTTTATTACTCATGGTGGTCGATGGCGAAGATGGGTGCTAACTTAGTTGGGGGGGGGGGCACGCGGCGGCGCGGCAGTCTGCTCCTGGCATGTTCGGAAATCCGGGCCAGGGGGAGTGTAGGCAGTCTAGGGGGTGGGGGGGGGGGCAGTCACTTGACATGCGTGAAAAGCTGGAATGTTCGAGTTTACACTGTCTCGCTCGAGAGAGCCCAGGTGAGCAGACTGCCGCGCCGCCGCGTGCCCCCCCCCAACTAAGTTAGCCACTG